CAACTTATACCTGAATTTGCCACGGTTTGCTGGCTGCCTCCTAACACTAAACTCACTGATTCTCAAAAAGAGATCCCTTCTTCACTCAGGGGGGAATACCAAGAAGGAGATCCAATGAAGAGGTCAAACGAAGATATCTTGGTGGGGACTTGGCACACACCTAATCAATTTGTAACTAGAGCCCAGGGCGTTACACATCCAATGGATGAGTGTGCGTTGGAAAAAATTACAAAGGAAACCATTAGGTTTGTGTCCGAGTCAGACCCCAAGCTTGTGTCGATAGAAAGGAGAAAGAACTTGCTCAAGGCGAGGATCATGGCCAAGCAGCTGGAAGTACAAGAAAGAACCCTGCACGAAGGCTTGCCGGAATCAGTTGAAAAGGAAGTACGTGGGAAGAAGGTCCTACTTTGGCAGAAGCTGCTGGAACAACATGGATATGACGACATGGAGGTGGTGAGGTTCATGAAGGAAGGGGTCCCCTTAGTAGGGTCGCATGATCATCTGCCTTGTTATCCTCTGAAGATCAAAATGGCATCCACCACAGAGGCTGAACTTCGTAGCATGGCCGTGCCTTGCAGGTTGGCCCTGGAGAACCGCAGACCTCAAACGGATGCTCCAGGTTTTGCTGAACATCTTGAGGAAACGGCATCTGAAGAGGTGAGCTTGCGTTTCTTGGAGGGCCCCTTTTCATCCCCATCAGAAGTGACAGAAGTTCTTGGCCACGATAACTGGCGAATAATGAGACGCTTTCTGATTGAACAGGGCTCGAAGTTGAGACCCATAGATCATGGACTGAGGGCACAACTTAACTCGGCTTACACCTCGACCATCAGACTCGACCTCCAGGATGCAGATTACATGGTGGCCCTCACATTGGAGCTTGGAAAGGCGAAGGGACTTGATTGGGTTGGCAAAACGCTGGACTTGTCCAAAGCATACAAACAACTCCCAATCCTGCCCAGCCACAGAGACCTGGCTGTTGTGTTTTTCCGAGGCAGTAGGGGATGTCCCAGGTACTACATCCCAAAGCTCTAATGACTCTATGTTTGGATCCACTGCAGCAGTTTATGCATTCAACCGAGTTAGTAGGTCGTTGTGGTTCTTGATCAATGTGTATCTGAAAGTGCCAACCGCTGTGTACTGCTATGATTACCCAATGTTTTCGCCAGAGACAAGTGCCCAGGAGACAGACAATGTGGTTTCCGACTTCCTAGACCTACTAGGATGGCGTCATGACAGAACAGGGCCGAAAGGCAAACCCTTTGCCTCGTCCTTCGATGTATTGGGAATGAATCTTGACCTGTCTGGGCTGCGAAATGCCAACTCGGTCACCTTGAAAAACAAAGAAGGGAGAGTCGAGAATTTTTTTTCCTAAAGTTCTCAATGTCAAGGAGAATTTTTGTTTTTGCGACGGGTCTTTCCCGTGCTCTGGATGCTGTACCACACGGCATTCCCAAATGGATGTATTCTGGGGGGCGGTTTTTCAAAAGATCAATTAAGATTTAAGATTTTCTGATGACTGGCCTCTGTAAGGTCCAAAAGAGTTACCGGAACTTGAGGGTCATGCATAACATGGTCCACTGCGAGAACGGAAAAACCTGCTTCGATCAAACTGCGGGATAATGAAGCTAGCCCACAACAGATTTCTACGGCAAAAGGCTGCCGATGTGAAACTGGCTGAGGTTGTGACGGATGCTCCTCAGCCGTAACGGCTGGTTGTCACTCTTGGCTGTGACTGCACTCATGATGTGGCTTGGGCTTATGGCATCCCTGCTTGTAACACAGGTGGTATCCCCGCTGGCAGCGAGGGCCAGATCCTCTGAATCCACAAACCCATTTGTTGAAAGCAAAGCATAGCGGCTTTCCATCGGCTGTCTTTGCAACACACTCTGGGGGGATGTCGATTGTGGACCCCTGCTTGGATTTGGACTTTCCTTTGCCCTTGCCTTTGCCTTTCCCTTTGGGATGCTTTGTAGGCGGATCGGATGCATCGGATGTGGACCTCTTGTTAGGTCGCGGATTGGCCGCTTTTGGGCTCGGCTTCACAGGCATTGGCATGAGATATGGCATCAGCTCGGGAGATGTTCGCAACAGTTTAATTTCCTCGTCCAAGGGCGTGCTGTTGACGCCTGGCTCGGCCTGCAACTGTCCGACCAGATTGTTGGACGCCCTGATAAACATCTGTTTGTCACACTCGATAATCTGCTGCAATGTCACCGAGGCGAAACCTGACGGCTGAGCCCGTTCATGGGACAGGAAGAGATGCTGGACCCACATTTCAATCTCCCGAAATAAACAAAGCTTTGCCTGATCCATTGCAAGAGATCGCCTTTGAAAAGCATTGCGCAAGTCCAACTCTGATCCAACTGAACAAGTTGTAGCTGTTGCTTTGGAGGTGATCTTAATATTTCCACTAGCATCTAGAGATACTTTGGGATCCTTTTTCAAACTCTGAATCTCCTGAGAGCGGGACGTACACTCTTCTGGCTTGATCCAAGTCAGAACGTTCTGCTCCAGCATGTTCACAAAGATCTACTAAAGCATGGCTAGGACTAGGAGTAACTTCTGGTGAGAAGATAATCCCTCCAAGCGCATCTCTTGCTCAGCTTGCCTGGTCTGTCTCTCCGCCATTGGCAGCTTTCTAGTCACCAGTTGAGGGTTGATCGACCTTTCTTTGAAGATCATTCAGCGCAAGTGCGTGGGACTCTACAACAAGCCTTCGGATGCATGAGGTCTGATACGGATTCAACTCACTGGCAGTGACCTTTGTGAGCCAGGTGTCAAGTACAGCATCGGTAATTTGTTGAGGCATCGTTGACACTGCAAAGGCTAATGATCCGAAGGTTTCAAATCCCCTCGCTTGCAATTCAAGTCTGAAGTCATATTCCACACCCAGTTGTCTCAATCGCTCTGCAAATGCAGCTTTGCCATCAAGAGCTGACATGGCCGAAGAGGGAATCCGAGGTGAGAAAGTGAAGGTTTATCTCCATGCTGTCACATTTGATCATCATCAAAGTCTTAACATTCAGTTTACAAGCGTCATTTGACTGGTGTTTTACTGGACATGTCCCTGTGAAATTTCTTGCCCGATTCACATGAGCCATGTGACTAATGTCCCTACCAGGTTTTTGTTAGATTTTGAAATCGTCTGAGAATTGTTGATATGTCATGACTGCCCCTGAAACATTTCTAATCCCCCTCGGTTGAGGTCTGGCTTGTCTTGGCTCTGGTGCCATTTGACATGCTGGTGGCACATGTTATGAGAGCATCTCAACATGTCTGTGATTGGACGGCTCAGCACCTTTTTCATGCTCATCGGACTTACTCTCGATGGGTCGAAGGAACTTTGTTGTTCCCAATCGACCTTTAATGGCTTTCTTAGCCATTTCTGGCTTCCAAGATGACTCGGATCTGTTCTACAACGTTGGGGATAAGCGGGAGGCGCGGTGCGCAGAGTAAACTAACGCTGAAACAAAACGCTAAACCAAACAAACGCGTCGCCATGTTCGCGGTATACGCGCAAACTGAACCAACTGAAACAAAACCAAACTGACATCGCAAAAACAAATCAAAACTGAAACTCGAAAGCACATGCGGAAAACGAAATGTGAAAGCCACTGTTGATGGGTTGACGCCACACTCTCCTTTTTTCTTTCGGTGGTCGACGGCACTGAAACACGGTCTCAAGTCCAATCAGTGGATCCTCATCAAATCGTTTTCCATCTTGTTGATTTTCACATGTAGCCGAGGGTATCGTTCCCCCTTCCAGAGTCAGTGCCGTTGATTGCATTGATTGCAAATCATGATACGCAAGTGAAAGTCAGCCAAAAGCCTCATCGAGGGCGAAGGAGGCCCGCAGAGTTGCTGCACTCATCAAGCCGAATCAAAATGTCAGAACGATCAATGTAGATGCCATAGCAAGTCCAGCAAAGGTTCTGTAAGTCACTGCGACTCAGAAAAGATAAACACAGCACATTGGCAAATCGTGAAGGTCCAGAGTGGTCCCAAATGTTCCAAGTTACCAAAAAGAAAGGTTGAACGCTGATATAATCGCATCGGTCCGGATCCCAAGCCAGTCGAAGTGTATCGTAAATTTGCATTGCAGCCAGAATTACGTACGGGACGGTACGTGAAAGCAAATAAACGCAGGGTGGGAGGGAGCGGACTAAAAAATTGAACAGCTAAAACTGCAAGGCAAAGGATTGACTAATCGAACACGGAGTGTTTCAGAGTAACAAGGCAACTGAGAAACTCCAAACATAAAATTCAAAAAACTAAAACAGAAAACCAAAACCAACAAAACGTTGGGCAAGCACGGCTGAAACTGAGACTGAAGCAGCACATAAAATTGAAGTTCAAGGACGACATCACCAAACCAGCTAAAACGCAACCAAACTGAAACTGACTTAACATGTCGTTCACAAGACGGTTTGGGAAAGTTGTCCACACCTCTCCTTAACACCAGCGAGGGTAGACGGGGTAACGCGAGGTAGCTAAAGGTAAGGCGACGAAGCGCAGGCCAACAACGGCACCCCAGCCACCCACCCCAAATCCCAACGCTTCCAAACAGTCACTTTGGTGACCCAAATTGTCCTGTTCTACAACGTTGGGGATAAGCGGGAGGCGCGGTGCGCAGAGTAAACTAACGCTGAAACAAAACGCTAAACCAAACAAACGCGTCGCCATGTTCGCGGTATACGCGCAAACTGAACCAACTGAAACAAAACCAAACTGACATCGCAAAAACAAATCAAAACTGAAACTCGAAAGCACATGCGGAAAACGAAATGTGAAAGCCACTGTTGATGGGTTGACGCCACACTCTCCTTTTTTCTTTCGGTGGTCGACGGCACTGAAACACGGTCTCAAGTCCAATCAGTGGATCCTCATCAAATCGTTTTCCATCTTGTTGATTTTCACATGTAGCCGAGGGTATCGTTCCCCCATTTGCAACGCAACGAGGCTGCATAAACTGACACTGAAACTGAAGCAGGGCCAAGTCAACCCCAAGCTGATTTCTCAAATTTGTCTCTCCCCTTTCCATAAACCGCCCAAGAGTCGCGGTCCAAAAATTCTTGCCTAGCTTCCCAAAGGCTCAAAAGCAAGGAAAGATCTAAATCTGAAAGCTCGATGTCTATCCTTTTGCTCAAGTCGACATCCCCAAACCTGGAATTCGTAAGGTCATCCGCAAGGGTGTTCTGGTCTCTCGGTCTCCAAGCTAAACTGATTCTGACACCAGCCCTCATCAAGCAGTGTGACAATTGCATATTCACTAAGGTGAGAGGCCAACGTGTTGTCGAATTCTTCCTGGACAAGAAATCAATAGAGCGATTATCAGTCCCGCTCTGCACCCAAAGCCGGATGCACGTCCTCCCCGACTTGGGCTCCAAATAGCCGAAGAGCTGAAGCGCAACTAAAACTGAGAGAAGTTCTGCAGGCGCCGAAGCCCACTCACTGTCCCCGTTCTCTTTGAAGAGGTACGGAGCATCGTGCGGTGTAACCCGCACAGAGAACCATCTGCCATCGGGAAAATGATACCCAGCTAACACCACAAGATTGTTTTCGCACTTTGCATCCGTCCTGAATACTTCATTAGTAAGCCTTCGCGGCTTCAAGCAAGAAAACATGAACTTCTGTTCCTCAAACTGCTTTTCCAAGAACATGCAAACAAGCCTGACCAGCCGAGGCGCCGTAGCAACTGTGCTCTTGCTGACTGCCGAAGCCCATGAGTAAAGTGGAGCCAGGTGCGGTTTCAACCACAGCAACACCCGGCATGTGAAGCCGAGCCTACCAAGAAACTCCGCAAACCGGTGGACGTGAACCGTGAAAGCATCTCTTCTCAATTCCCGCAAGAAGGTGAGCAACCACTGTCCACGAGCTTCGCTTATGCCCACAGACATGTTCAAATAGTCAACACGGTAACCAACAAACTGCACGTCCAGTCCGCCAGAGAATTTCTTGTAACCAAAAGGGGTGCCCAAGGCCTCATAGGCCGCAATCGTCATCCACAAGGTCTCAAACTTTTCTTCGCCAACGCATACAACATGGAGGTCATCAACGTACACCAGCTGTACGACCCATCTGTTCAAGAGAACCCTTGCAACAAGCCTACCAGCCAGGCCAAAAAGTCTACTCCACCAATAGAGCGCGCTAGACACCCCAAAAGTACCAACTTTGTTGACCCAGCATACGTCTGAATCTGAATTGGACTTGCATACCAACAGCCTCCAATCGCTCTCGCGGATCTTGACCAACCTGTGTGCCGCCTTTATGTCAGCGGAAACAGTGAAGAAGGAGTCCTGGGTGTCCCTTGCAGCACGGACAGCTCCAGCAACATCAGGTGGCCCGGGATAGTCCAGCTTGTCTGTGAACCGTATCCCGTTGTTAACCTGGACGAAGTGCGTTCCATCATGTATGGGCCTAACACTCCCGTCCGGCTTCTTTATGGCCCCCATGGCCGCTACAAGGATGGGTTTGCCTAGTGGGATACATCATGCCTTGGGCCTCGTCCTCTCTGAATTTGCTCTCAAGACCTTCTTGATTTTCAACCGCAGACTTAAAGTTACGTGCCTCCTCCATGTACTCAGACGCGTCCAGGTTGCTCTGTTTCGTCCTTGTGCGGAACACTTCAGGAGCAGGTGGTATGGGCTCTTCATACCCGACAGGAACGCCCGTCGTGAAGGAATCCTTTGAGGCAACCAATATCTCGGAGTCAGGGTCGCCTTGGATCTTCAGAGTCTGAGCCATGAGGTCTAAAAGGAAAGGCGACCCTCTGCCTTCTGCACAGCACTGCTGGGGGCAGGTAAAAGGGCGGCCCAACGTTTTCTCAGCTTGTCAAGTGCTTCCTTGCAGAATGGCGACTCCGTCAACTTCCCTGTGGCAAGTTTGAAAGCCATCATGCGCAGATCTCCCATCTGTTCATGAACAAAACGTCTGAGCAAGTTGTGGATCTTGTGATGTCACGTGCTTGAGCGCTTTGTCCAACCCCTCTGCAATCAGGAGCCCACCTGTTAGGTGAGCACAAACCAAAGCCATCAGTGATCTCTCTCTCCTCCCCAGACCATTCAACCATCATCGGTCTGCCCCAGTTAGAGTCTGAAACAGTGTGCTGGATGCCACTCGCGTTGGTAGGACCATTGGTCTGTGCAGCCGGTTTCTCAGCCACCATCTGTTTGGAACCATTTTCCGCATCAGGTTTGGGGGTATCTCCACCCTTGTCGACATCCATGGGCAGAGCAAGACTGCTTTGCCCACAACACAAGTGCTCACCTGAAACTGTAGTTGGAGGTGTCTGCCCAACCACTTCCGTTATCTCGTGGGTGCCCCTTTTCCGAAGGACGGAGACCACGAGGTTGGCCAAATATTTGCACAAGCCAGGTGGATATGAAGCAGCGGGGCCGGTCACCCAGCGGCCCTGGGAGTCCTTGCCAATCAAACGCCTGATGTGGCGTGTGTGGGTGCATCTAGCGGGCAATGGCCCCACATATTTGCCTTGCTCGTCGAAGGCCGGCCATTTGGAAAATGTTGCTCTGATGCCCGGTATTGAAGAGAGAAACCTTGTAGGTTTGCTAGTATCGGCTCCAAAACCGCATTGGAAGATTGCCCAGGTTGTTGCATTGGTTGTGATCTGCAAGTTGCGCATCTCGTCAAGCTGCCAGATGGATGCTGGTGCTTCGCCATTGACCGTGCCCAGGTCCTCCGGGTGCTCAATCAAAAAGAATGCCCCAACTTCTGATGCCAGGTGAGCAGCACGTATGGTTTGCGAAACAAAATAATTTGCCAAATCGACTTTCTTGCGCTGTGCTGAAGACAACCATGGAAAACCCCATGGCCATGACTTGTTGCGTTGTGGGCGAGGACCTGGATGAAGTTGCCACTGGAATCGAACTCGGGACCATGTCCCACAAGGAGGTGACATAATCAGAACATCGTATTTGCCGTCTTTGATCTCTGCAAAAATCTCCTCCCAAAGCTGGTCACGACTGAGGTCGTCGGCCTCAGAGCGCTCAATGTCCACTTCGCGGACATGCAGGTCAAAATCCTGCACCTGGGAGTACTCATGCAAAAAGGAATTGATATCTGCACGACGTGGGCCCCTGCAAACAAGTAGAGAACATTCAAGGTCTGTTTGACAGGTCCATTGCCCTCTTTTGAAGCCCCACGTTCTGCTTGTCACTCATCGCCAGCCTTGCCCTTGTCATCCCCTCCTTGTTGCGAAGGTTTGTTGTTGGAGTACTTGTGGTGTTCACGTGCGGAGTGTTTGGCATAGCATCCTTTCACCCTGCAAGCATGAACTCTTCCACACCGACCAGCGCACCCCTGGGCGTTGAACGCGAAGCATAACTCCCTGCCGTCCGGCGTGTGGGTTACCAGACTGCTGCCATTGAAATCCCTGGGGCCCTTGCCAAACTTGCCTTTGCCTTTGCCACCTTTGGTTGGAGCCCCTTTGAAGTTGGACTTCCCTTTGGAGCTCGTGCGCTGCCATTTGTTGGGCTGCGCTGATGGGCGCTGATTGTTCCAGCCAACGCCCAATGCAATCGGTGCAGTGAAGTGAGCCTCCTTGATCTCTGCGTCCCTGATGACGGCAGTCAACCCTTCTGCAATTGTATGTGTGCCCGCTTGAACAAGCTTGAAAACCTCTTTCCGCATTTTCTGCTCATAGCTCAGGATGACAGCCCAAGGCGGCTTCACTGCATGGGACTGGCCTTCAACGTTGAACTTCAGGCCCAACACTTTCTCACCAAGCAGGTATTCTGTGTATTTTGACCAATGCTGCAGCTCAAGACCATGCAACCACGTCTTGTTTCGGAACTTCGCTGACATGCAAAGCCAGCTGACTGCTTCCAACTTCAACGCCTTGCGAAGGGACTCTGTGTCCTTCGGAAGACGGCCCTTGGTCTTGACCTTTGTGACCCGGACATGGCCTGACGAATCAAGAGACGTCTGCAAGGCCGAAGAGCTGGTGTCGGCCCTGGATGAAATCTCATCAAGCCCCAAGGCTTGAGGCTCGTTCGCCTCGCACTCCTCAACCTTTAAAGCAAGGTATTCATTGCTAGGTATCTCAACGTCCTGCAATTTGCCCAAGACCACTTCAACCGCTTTGACCATTGCTTGACGCTCTGTCTGCTGTAAAACGCGGGGCATGCCCAGCACCTTTGTTTCAGCTTGAAGTTCTTGCTCCTTTGCTGTCATAGTGCGTGAGAGCTCCCACGCGGTCAACACTTTGGCCACGTTTGCCCTGGTCTCAGGACTTGCTATTGGATCAATACGGAAATCTGTGCGCAATGCCTCACGCACCTCAGCCTTTGTATCACACATTGAGCTGAAGACCTTCATAGTCTTGTAGTATTGGGCCAAAGTGTGTTGTGTGGTGAGGGACACATCAGCCTCTTGCCAAATATATTGCAAATCCGAGCTGACATGCTCTGAAATGTATGCCCTCCGTGCAGCGTCGTCAACCATCGTTGGCAACGCGGATGACCAGGTGAGTGAATTGCAAACAAGAATGGAAATGAGATGAAAATGTAAAGAACAGTCAAGCAAACTCTCAATAAATTTAACGGACAACCACAGTCTAACGTTAAAAATTTTCTTGAAGCCCTCACTGCACCTAGAAGCCTGATCAAAACAGGTGTGCGCTGACTCTGAATCTGAACTGAAGTGGCTCCATGCCGCAACATTAAGTGAACTGCTGACTTCTGAAACAGCGAACTGAATTGCACAGAGCGTGCCAAGTTTTCAACTGAAAATCCCGACTGAACATTCCAAAACCTCACATGAAGGCCACTGAATCTCACTGCATTTTCTTTTGACACCTCCGCAGGGCTGAGTTGATGACCTCGCGGCCCACATCATTGTGTGCCCTGTGCACCCTAAAACTACCTGGCCTGTCACCGGCCGGGTACTGCACAGCCAACATGTTGAAACATATGAATATGAAATTAAGGACAAGACTGAAGACCCATGCCACACAACAACTCAGCTAAAAACAAAACAACCTGACTGAATCACTCCGAGGCAGGTGCCAGCAATGCCGAAGGTTCAGGCCGCTTTGGCCGGTGAAAGCACCAGTGAATTAGCAGTGACACTGTATTGTTGACATGTCGAAACTGCAGTGAGTTACAACAAAACAACTCGAAAAGAACTCATGACCCATCTCAACATCCTACACTCTGAAGGACTCACGCCGAGGCCAGCGCCAGCAATGTCCAGATTTCGGGCACGTTCATCCCGTGGATGCACTGGTGCGCAAACATCAATCTGAAACACCTGCAAAGGAAACATGGAAACATCACAGAATAAACATGACCACAAGAAGCAAAAGGAAAGCCTGATTCAACTTGTTCTTTCAAAAACCTTTTCCAAACCCTACAAATGGCAGCTGTCCATTTGCCCTGTTTTCTTGTGTTGTTTTTTGTTTAGTTGTTGTTGTGTTTTTGTGTGTGTTTTGCTTTTTGTGGTTTTTGTTTGTTTGCTTTCTTGTTGGTTTGTGCTCGCTCTCGGCAATTGGATAGTTTATGGACTATGTAAAGGTCCACACCTGCTCTCTTTTGTAGCCTTCTTTACTGACGGCTTTGCATGCATATCAATTCAATTTTCGGCAAGTTGAAGCTTGTGTAACGACCTGGCGAAAGCCTTGGAGGCGTTGGACGGAAAAAAATTGCAAACCCTACAAATGGCATTAAATTTGGTGCAAGTGACGGATTCGACGCTCTCAGTCTCCTGAAACCTGTCCTTCTCAAGATTGTGACGAAATAGGTCACGCCCTCATCAGGGTTGTCAGGAGGTAGTTGCTCTCCATCAGCCTGATGTTGCGGATTCTCGTCCTCTGACTCTTCCTCATCACCATGTCTGGTTATGTCTTCTGCCTTGAACAATGGCAGCATTTTGTGGCGGCGCCTGACCCACTGTCCACTCAAGTCAGACTTTGCCGCAAACTCACGCAAATTGTCCAAGAGCTCGTTCTCATCGTACGCGAAGCCCTCTCCACAGAGGGACTGCAAGACTCGTTGGATCCTCTCAGTGATCTGACGCGATGTCAAAAAAAGGTATGCATTTGACCCGACACGCCATCTGCGAAGAAAATCTCTGTCATGCTTGTCAGATCCAATGAGGCAGGAAATGCCTGGCACTATGCCCTTTCCAGAACAGAGAGAGCTCAGCTGGGACAAGTTCCATGCTGGCGTTCACACGCTATCTGCCGTCCTCAAACTTCGGCGTACCAAGCATCTGAAGCACCATCCTAAAATAGTTGGCCAGCTGCGGTGGCTCCATCAACTTCTTTCTCATTGCGTGCCAGTCAGCTGTGGGTGCCGGCACCAAATAATCCCTGGGGAAAATTGCACTTTCATGCCTCAAAAGTTGTAACCCTTCTTCCATCCAGTCATGGCCAGTGAGTGTGATACTCCTATGGACAAAAGCATGGACCTGCCCATGGATCTTACCAGGCCCTGTGGTCTTGGTGTGCGACATGCTGACCGAGAAACCTCTCGGAGACAACCGCATAGTTTCCGGCATCACACATTGAATATCATCCACTCGCATGCAGCTCCATATGGCGACCAAAATGGTCCATGCAATGACACGTGCACAGTAATCCCTCTGAACGTCCATGACAAACAACGCAAGCGCCAAAAGAATTGAGACAGTGTAAGGTGGTGCTGAACCACGTGGCTCAGCTCCTGACTCCAGCTCTGCAAATGAGCTTTCCACGTAGGGTCCATAAAGAGTTGATTGCACTCCGGAAC